AGTCCGAACCGCCGCTACTAAAATATTTAAAATGACGTATTATAAACCGTCCTATTATTTTGTATTTGTGGCGGTTCTTGGAAACCGCCGTAATTAAACCACCGCAATATTTTCATTTTTTTTTGTAGTGAGAGAGTAATGCCTAACCTTTTTTTTATTTTTAATATGCTATTGACATTCAAAATGAAGACAATCATGTGAGCTCATATATTAAGTAATTTCAAATAATTTTAACGGAAAGGAGCCAAAAATGCCCTTAAACTTGGGATTTGGCATGATATTGCCCTTCATCCACCTTATGAGTATGATCCATTAGAGATTAAGGTATTTCTGAGCCAAAAGGTTGACGTCAAGGGTTTGGAGCCCAAATATTGATGAAGAGTGGTTTTGTACCAATTTAAATAGTTGAGATGCATTTTAGGCACTTTTCCATAAGTTGTAGGATCATCACTTTGTAAAATCATAGAAATATACTTCACTGAGTAGAGTCGTTTCCTTCTCTAGCTTTTTTATTACTTGTCTCACCAATTTATTGCCTCGGCTTAACTTGTCCGTAGAAATCTCCAATATCGTTATCGCTGAAATAAAGTCAAGTAAAGAAATATGATAACACAAACACTATTTAAAAGAATACACTAATAATTAGAAATAATTAAGAATGTGATTATAGAAATTCATTAAAAAATAAAATTTCTAATATATGATTTTTCATGTATAAGTAATTGGATTATATAAAGGCTATTCTGAGATGTAAATCAACTCTAATATCATACCTTTTAAATAATATTAATCACAATTTCTTAAAATAAATTACTATCATAATTCATACGGTGTAATCTACCTCACTAAAATAAAAATAATCAATAAATTATATTAGTGCTACAAAAATATCAATCCATCATAAACAAAAATAACATTACTTTTAAATAATGAAATAATAAAATGTGACGATTTTGAGACCTGACAAAAACATGAAGACCAATGATAAATAAAGAATTTGGTTATATATTTCTAAAACCAATGTTAAATAGTATTCACGGTTTCACCCTCACGGAGTCTCAAACAGTAAATATGCAAATGCATAGTATGACTAGTTATTTTGGTTATTCTCAATCTTCTTATGTTTATACATGAAAAATACTATTAAGCAGCATTCATTTATTAAAGAATTATAAATATCAACAATATTAACGAAAAGATTTAACATATACTTTTGTATAAAGTTGGTAAGGTGAGCCTCGAAGTTTGGTGTTAGGCATGTTTAGGGTGTAAAATCACACGCTTAATATCATAACCCAAAATGAACGTGATGACACTTATCTAATTCAACCAAGACAAGTCAGCCTCAATCCAACGAAAACGAATGAATTGCAGAAATATAAAGCAAGAACAAGATAAAGAAGAAAAACTTATTCTTTCTATTAAAACCATGAAAATGTGATTGTCAAGTGTACAAGCCACTAAATACATCAAGTGCGAAATTGAAATAATTACAAGTCTCGACCTTTATTTCTCAAATAGAACAAAATATAAAGAAAGGGAAAAAAAGGGGTCTGCCAAATGATTGTGATGCACCATAAATTAGTGCTACGCGATCGCCATGAGGGAGTCTCACGATCGTGATGACCAAAATGGTCATGCACCAGAACCAGAAACCAGCAAAACAACCAAACTCAAAATCATGGAAAGGGTCCTCGGGTTTCGTTCGGAACCCCGTACACACAAACCATATATGTAAATCAATTATACTCGACGTTCCGAACTTAATGGACTCGTTAAAACACGAATTTGAGGTGTCCTTGACCTGACATCCATGAAAATCAAAAGAAACTAACTCAACACCTAAAAAGACTGAAATAAACTCGGGATCTCTCAAAAATCACAAAGACCTCCCCTATGCCTAAAATCATCAATGAATCCAATAAAACTCTCAGAATTCCAATTCGAACATCCGAACCCTGAATGTTGACCAAAGTCAACCCAAAAACTAAATTTTCATAATTTCACAACCAAGCCCCATACATATGCATCAAAGCGATTTGCCAATGCCCTACCCCAAGACGAGTCTCAATATTGTCTTTTAAGAAAACACTGCATCTATATATGTTGAGACCAATGAAGTTGAGATTGTTGGTGGTGACAAGTAGGTTAGCCTGTCAAAGGGCCCTCACTTTGGACCAACGCATTAAGCAAGAAAGTTGGAGTAGGTATATAGACTTAAATTTCAGTACATGTATGGTCTAATTTAAAGCCTCTCCAACAACAGTCCACACAATGAGTTTGCCATTTCCCCCAATACGCGTATGCAGTATCTCATCTAATGTATTAGTTATACTAGCATGCATATAAGGTTAGGCTAGAAAATAGATTAGTTAGAACGAATAAGAAGATTAATCTACTCCAGAGTTGACTAAGGGACCACCTTAATTATGAATTAAGAGAGGTCGGCAAAATTATTCAATAGTACTCCCGTCCCTAATTACTTGTCAATTTTTTACTTTGCATACTCTTAGACCCGTAGTCTAACCCATATATCACATATCTATTAAGAAAATAATAATTGATATAGTAGGTTTACTATTTTACCATTTATTAATGATAGAATTCCAAAATCAATTTAATCATTAAAGAGGTTCTACCTTTTTAAAGAAATATTAACTTTCTAAATAAATTGAGGATATAACAAATAAAAAAAAGTATTCAATAGTTCTGATGTTCCTAATTACTTGTCCATTTTTTACTTAACACACATATTAAGAAAAAATAATAATTGGTATAGTGAGTTTACCATTTTACCCTTATGAATTGATAAAATTCCAAAATCAATTTACTCATTAAAGAGGTTCTACCTTTTAAAAAAAAATATTAACTCTCTAAATAAATTGAGGATATAATAGATTAAAAAAATTATGTTTTTTTTATTTGTCAAAGATAACAAGTAAAAAGGGATGGAACGAGTATTAGTTAGTTAGTACATTACTATTGAGGTCAACATAACCCTTGAAATTCTTTAGAAACTAACCATAATTTATTTGTTCTTCAAAGTAGGGTTTTGTTGTTATTATTATTATCTGCCGGATCTGCTTTGTTTGTTTCGGTTTTAGCTGAGGAATTTTGGGTGTGAAACAAAGGACAAAAACAGACTACATCATTAACATTATTGTTTTTTTCCCCAAAATCCTAACTACTTATTGCATGGTCAACGTCTTAATCTTGTCTTTGCTGTCAGTGGGCCTTGCCCTGCTTCAGCCCACTTAATTTCTGAAATTTCAAATAATATACTATCTTTTTCTTATTTTGCTTTAAAGAAAATATCTTTTTTTTTAACCTTTTGCAAAATTAAAGATTATATTTTGGTAAATTTCACGTATTTTTAATTTATAACAATAAATTATCAATTTCTATTTTACTTTTCTAAAATTCTGTCGAGTACAGTATAGCAAGTAAATGATTCAACTACTACAAAAGTCAGTGCCTTGAAATTGGCCTGCTTCACTTGTAACGTGTTATTCCCTTTTCAAAATAATTGTATTGTTGAGACATTTTTCATATTTCATATTATGTTTAATCTTCAAGACTATTTTTAAAATATTTTTTTCATTTTTACCCTTCATTTGAATTTTTTATGTAATGAGTTCAAAAAAATTTAATTGCTTTGAATTATTCTAAAGATTAATTTGACAATATTTAATAAGGGCAAAAATGAAATGTAATGTCTAATTTATGTCTTAAAACTCGTTTGGATAAGCTAAATAAACTAGCTTTTAAATCTAAAAAAAAAAAATCAAAACTTAAAATGACTTTTAAATCAAAAATAAAAAGTAGGGGAGTCCGATTTTTTATTTTAAACTTATTTTAACTCAATTTTCACTTTGTCAAATACTCTCAAAAATTAAATATTACTTAAGAATAGATTTGACCAACTTTCAAGCTCACTCAAAGGAGTTATTAATCTTCTTTTAAAGAGTGTGAAATGACAGAATAATTCAATTATTTTGACGGTATTTAATTTAATGAATGAAACGTTAGGCCACCCTCTCCATCTTATTAATTGAATATTAGAGTATGTGTTTAAACTAATACGTTTATTAATGGACAAACTTTTTGGTGAGTGTATTTGAGACGAAATTAATAAAGTCCTTTTTATTTTTTTGTGTGGATTAAGAATTAATAGTGGGAATTTCCACTTCGGAGGGTTGCCAATTGTGTGTGCCTTATGAATGACAGCCAATGAGTAGTTGCAGAAGGTGAATGTTGTAGTTAAGCTAGCATAAATGGTTGAAAATGATAAGCAAGAAGTAGTTGGAGAGGTAACCTCGAGATCTGTGCTAGGATAGCAGAGATTCCGTTTGCTTCACGAAGAAGCTCAAACATTATTCTTTATTTCTTTTGAAAAGAAAAGTTTTTTCCTTCCTACTGCTTTGTTTTTTCCTACCGGTACCACCAGCTGCTGCTGCAGAGGGAAGTAAAAAGAATAATCTGATTTTGCAAAGTAAACAAAATGCCGTACGTCGGAGTAGCAAGTTTAGAGGGGAATTGTAAGGCACAAGACTTCGACCTTTTTTCTCAATTCTCAACCGTTATATATTAAGCTCTCACCCATTTTCTTCATTGCAGTAGAGTTCACCATTTTTCAAGGTATACTCTTTCCCCTATTATTTCAACTCTCTACTACCTTTGCTTACAGTAGTGTTGATACTCCATTTTTCAAGGCACACCCCTCTGGCTCTGGCCATAGATTGTGTGTGGTAAGTGTTGGTTCATCAAATTTACTCATTATTTCAACTTCATTCAAACATGTTTTCACTCATGTCCTAAACGCCACAAAGTGTCCTTTGCTCTACGGGGAATTAATTGTCTCTTCATTTCATACTGTGATGGGGATATTTTCCATATATCTAACTTCTCTGCCACATTTTTGTTTACCATTGTTACTAGGTGATGCAAATGGATGACATACAAAGTTGATATCTTATGGCAACTTGAGTTGACTTGGCAAGTCCAGGAGCAAATAGATTTAAATGATGAAGCTACACCCAATAATAGATCTACTTCCTCTTTCTCTCTTCCTATTTTTGCTCCTCTTCCCAAATGTTATTGCTGACCTTAGCTCAGATAGACAAGCACTACTTGACTTTGCTTCTGCAGTACCTCATCTTCGAAACTTCAAGTGGAACACTAACTCTTCCATTTGCACATGGCATGGCGTAAGTTGCAGCTCAGATGGCACTCGTGTAGTTGCACTTCGGCTTCCTGGTATTGGACTTTATGGTCCTATTCCAGACAATACCATAGGAAGACTGGATGCACTAACAACCCTCAGCCTTCATTCCAATGCCCTCACTGGAAATCTTCCTTCAGACATCACCTCTATTCCGTCCCTCCATTTCATATTTATACAACAAAACAAATTTTCTGGTGAAATACCTTCTTCTCTATCTCTACAGCTTAACTTCATTGATCTCTCTTTCAACTCCTTCTCAGGGGAAATTCCAACAACAATTCAAAATCTGACACATCTTACTGGTTTAAACCTACAAAACAACTCCCTCACAGGATCCATTCCTAATGTAAACCTACCAAGGCTTATGCAATTGAATATGAGTAATAATGAACTCAATGGTTCAATTCCACCATCCCTTGCAAAGTTTTCTGCTTCTTCATTTCAAGGAAATTCTCTATTATGTGGACAACCCTTGACTCAATGCCCTTCTTTTGCGCCTTCACCGTCTCCATTCCCTTCAATTCCACCTTCTCCTTTGAGTCTAACACCACCATCTCGTTCTCCGAGCGTCCTGCCAGCCTCACCAACAATTCCTGAAAACCATAAAGGCAAGAAAAGCTTGAGTACACGGGTTATCATTGGCATTGTTGCAGGAGGTGTTGGAGGGATCCTATGTCTAGCTGTGTTGATTTTCTTGTGTTGTATGAAGCAATATTATACTAAGAGAGGTGTACAGCAAAGAAAAGACTTTAATGGAGGAGGAAGTCCGAAGCAAACAGAGGACTTCAGTAGTGGAGTACAAGCAGCTGAAAAGAACAAATTGGTTTTCTTTGAGGGTTGTTCTTTCAATTTTGACCTTGAAGATTTGTTGAGAGCCTCAGCTGAGGTTTTGGGTAAAGGGAGCTATGGAACAACCTACAAGGCCATCTTGGAGGAGGGAACGACTGTTGTTGTGAAACGGCTGAAGGAAGTTGTTGTTGGGAAACGAGAGTTTGACCAACAGATGGAGACAATTGGCACTGTGGATCAGCATCGAAATGTTGTTGCTCTTCGTGCTTATTACTTTTCCAAAGATGAAAAACTTCTTGTCTATGATCATGTACCGGCAGGCAGTTTATCCACTCGAATGCATGGTAACATTCTTCCTTCTTTTGTCCTCCCATTCTTTTAGCTGTCATACCCATCCAGGTGCTTGGGAATATCCTTAGTTACTAAGACTGGCAAGAAAATCAGCTGTAAAAGTTGCACGAGATCATAGATTCCGAATGTGAAATGAAGTACCTATATTCTTTAGAAAAGCCCCTAGACAAGCATTATAAATAAACACTCCTGAAATAGGCATGCAAGTTTGTCTTGAAGACTTTATAACATGTGATATTGGTTTCATGCACTCATAGTTCTCCATATTATTTTGAAGCAAGATGCAACTTGCAAGTTGTTGAATGTCAGATTAGTTGTTCGGTGCTATACATAATTTTCAATCTAACTGTTTACAAGAAAGTTCTTTTCTTTCATTGCTCCTTGTTTATTGATTATAGGCAACAAGGACTTGGGAAGAACACTGGATTGGGAATCTAGATTGAGGATTGCCCATGGAGCTGCAAGTGGTATTGCCCATATCCATGCTGTTTCTGGTGGCAAATTAATTCATGGAAATATCAAGTCATCCAATGTGCTTCTCACCCACGATAATAATGGATGCATCTCAGATGTTGGTCTTATACCTTTAATGGGTTTTCCTACTATCCCATCAAGGAGTGCAGGATATAGAGCACCCGAGGTGATAGAGACCAAGAAATGCACTCAGAAATCCGATGTTTACAGCTTTGGTGTTCTGCTTCTTGAGCTCCTTACTGGGAAAGCACCAGTGCAGCCACCTGGCCATGATGAGGTGGTAGACTTACCAAGATGGGTGCAGTCTGTTGTGAGGGAGGAATGGACTGCTGAGGTATTTGATGCTGAGCTCATCAAGTTTCAAAATATCGAAGACGAAATGGTGCAGATGCTGCAGATTGCAATGACTTGTGTGGCAAACGTGCCTGAAACAAGGCCTGACATGAGTCAAGTTGTCCAGATGATCGAAGATATCCAACAAATTGATTCTGGAAACAGGCCATCATCTGAAGATAACAAGTCTAGGAGCCCAACTAGTCCAACGCCATGATAACTCATGCATTTCTTACTACTCAATTCTATTACCAAATGTGTATTTGAACGTCTTTTCTTGTTTTTAAGTATAATTCAGACCTTTTAGATACTATCATTCTTCATCACTGCCAATATCTAAAAATTCAATCCTATTATGTCTAGCTCCACTTTTATTTTCAAATCAAAAAGACACAAACTTATTTTACCATAGCATTTGTTGATTTGATCTTGATCTTGATAAACTCCATTAATGGAGCTTTGAGTTATGCAGAAGAAGAAGTAATTGAACATAAAATATCTTCTATTGAGTATGAAGTTAGTTACAATTTGAGGAGTATATATAGCATACACTTAACATGTGTGTGTAGCTGCTATTAGGAAGGTTCTAGAACTAACTACCTCTAACTAACTTTTAACCCACTGTAACTAACACACTAGGCTAACCATGACAACTTGTTTAACTATACACTCTAGTTAACACTCCCCCTCAAGCTCATGGTCTAAACATGTTAGCAACTCCAGTCTTATTCAGCAGCACTTGATATTGTACTTTACCTAGGCTTTTTGTGAGCAAGTCAACCAATTGATCCTTGGTATGAACTCTGTCTTCAGCATTCCTCGACATATTTTTCCCTCAGAAAATGACAATCTATGTCGATATGTTTAGTTCTTTCATGAAATATAGGATTTGCTGCAATTTGGATTGCAGCCATACTATCACACATCATCTTCACAGGTAATTCAATATTAACACCAAGTTCTTTGAATAGCCCCACTAGCCAAGTGATCTCTGCTGCACAATTTGCCATACTTCTAAATTCTAACTCAACTGAGCTTCTAGAAACTGTTTCTTGTTTCTTCGACTTCTAAGAAATCAATGCTCCTCCAAGTTTAACTAGGTAACCACTGACAGACCTCCTAGTTTCAAGGCATGCTCCCCAATCTGAGTCACAATAAGCAAGCAACTCAGTTGTATCTTCAACTGGCATTAACAGTCCAAGACCTAGGCTTCTTTTAAGTATCTAACCACCCTTAGTGTTGCCTCCATATGAGATTCTTTAGGACAGTGCATGAACAAACTTAACACCTGAACTGAAAATGCTATATCATGTCTAGTCATAGTGAGGTAAAGTAATCTCCCCATCAGACTGTGATAACTGCTTGGATTCTGCATCATAGGCTCATTTGTTTGTAATATAGACTCATCATAGACAGAGGTTAGCTTCTAATTTTTCTCAAGAGGTGTTCCTGCAGGCTTTGCTCCCCCTAGACCACATTCAACTATTAGTTCTAGTGCATATTTCCTTTGAGACATATGAATTCCTTTACTGGATCTAGCAAACTCAATTCCTAGAAAGAACTTGAGTTCAATCTTTCATCTTAAACTTCTTCTGAAGATCCCTTTTTGTGTCATTTATAAGACTTTGATTGCTACCAGTTATCAGTAGATCATCTACATACACCAATACAATAAGTATATCACTTGCAACCTGCCTGGTAGAGAGTGAATAATCATAATGGCTTTGACAGAAACCCAACTAAACTAACGACTCAGTCAACTTTAGGTTCCATTGTCTAGGAGCTTGTTTGAGGCCATATAGTGACTTGTGTAGTTTGCAGACTTTAGTATCATTCTCCCCCTGTCTAGCAAACCCATCTGGAATGGACATGTACACCTCTTCAAGAAGATCCCATTAAAAAAGGCATTGTGGACATCCATTTGGTGAATGAACCAGCCTTTGGAAGCAGACAGAGCCACTATGGACCTGACAGTAACCATCTTTGCAACTGTAATCTAAGCCCTCTTGTTGACTAAAGCCTTTAGCAACCAACCTGGCTTTCAACCTCTCATGTGGACTTATATTTAACCTTATAGACCCATTTACAACCAATGAGCTTCTTACCAGGAGGTAAGTCCACCATGCTCTAAGTGTTATTAGCTTCGAGGGCAGAAATCTCAAGTGCCATAGCTTAAACCCATTAAGGATCAAGTGTTGCATCCTTATAGGAGGATGGTTCAATAATAGCTGAATAAGCAGACAGACTAGAAGCATACAAAGGAGACACATGATCATAGGTCAGGTGATTAGACAAGGGGAAGGAACATAAGTTAATTGTTTTGGTAGTGACAAAGTCATGAAGCCATAGGGGAGGCTTACTGGTTCTAGAGGATTTTCTTGGAGGAGCAATAGGGTCACTAGGAGGAGACTCAATCGAGCTAGAAGGAGAACTATGGAGTCAAATAGAGGGTGAGGAACTAGAAAAGTCAAGAGGTTGACTTGCAGGTATAGGAATATGTAGTGGTGGATTATCAGGAGGAATCATGCTCAGGACTGGAAAGATAGGATTAGATGAGGCTTGAAGATATTTGAAAGGAAACACTTCCTCTTTGAAGCCAATATGTCTATTGAAAAATAGAGATTTGGAGTGCAAATCATAAAAAACATAACCCTTTTGAGTTAAAGAATACCCCATCATGACAACAGGTATAGCTTTAGGAGAGAATTTGTCAAAAACCTTGGGACAAGTAGCAAAGCATAATCATCCAAAGGTCTTGACATGAGAGAGGGAAAGAGGTTGTGAATAGAGTATTTCAAAGGGGGTTTTAAACTTCAACAACTTAGAGGGAAGTCTGTTTAGGAGGTATACAGATGTGTTAACACATTCCCCCCAGAATTTTAAAGGAATAGAAGCCTGAAACCTAAGGGATCTTGCCATATCAAGAATTGTTTTGTGCTTCCTTTCAACAACTTCATTATGTTGCGGAGTGTAGACACATGTACTCTGATGGAAAATACCAAGAGTAGATATGAGTGACTGAAAAGCATGACTGAAAAACTCACTTCTATTATCAGTTATTAAAGTTTTAATGGTGGTAAAAAACAGATTTTTAACTTGAGTGACAAAATTCCTCAGCACCACTATTGTATCAGACTTAGAAGACATAAGAAACACCCATGTATATCTTGAAAAATCATCAACAATGGTTACAAAGTACCTCATTCAATTGTGAGTAGGTATCCTGTAAGGACCCCAGGTATCACAATGAACCAATTCAAATACAGACTTAGACAAATGAGTGCTTAAAGGAAAGGATAGTTTAGATTGTTTAGCTAATGGATAGACAATACAAGGATTAGAAGTTGCAACATCTGTAAGACTAATGCTAGAAGACTTCTTTATTACATCTAGAGGAGCATGACCTAATCTCCTATGCCATAAGGAGATAGACTCAGAAGAACCAACTGAATTAACACTACTTGTTGGTGATTGAACAGGAGCTAGACTGCTTAGACCTTCTTTAAGAACATAGAGGCATTGATCTTCTCTACCAATCCCCTTGACCTATCCATTGGAGAGATCCTGAAAGATACAAAATTCAGGAAAGAATACAACCATACAATTAAGGTCTTAGGTAAGTTGTGAGACAAATCGAAGGCTGCATTTAAATCAGGTATAAACATCGCATTGTCAATAGTATAATGACTATTAACTTTAGTAGTACCAACATGAGACACTGAAACTACATCTCCAGTGGGTAGGTTAGCTTGTCTCCTTTCAGATTTAGGTACTACTTTGACCCTATTTAAGAGTCCAAGATGAGAGGTCATGTGGTTAGATTCTCCAGTATCAATTATCCACTCCTTATGGACATATTGTGACACTAAAGCATAAAGGGAGCTACTTGCAGCTGCAACTTTAGTGGCATGTTCTCCTCCATTATCACTGCCTTTGGACAACATCTGCAGGATCTAAGTGTATTGATCTTGTGTGAAGAAAGCAGCAGGGGATAAGGGAATCATGTTGTTGGCTTTAATGTTATTGTGAGATGTGATTGCATTCATACCTGCAGACTGAGCAACATCAACATTATTATCATAGGAACCACTGTTAGCACCCTTCTTCTTAGATCTCCAAACAACCGGATATCCTTTAACCTTAAAGCATTGATCCTTAGTGTGACCTCTGTATCCACACACTTCACATATAAGGAGAGACTTTTGAGGTTTCTGTGGCTTTTGTTGATTGTTATAGTGACCTCTTCCTGATTGATCATCTCCACCTAGAGGTAGACCAAAGTGAGCTCCACCATAGTTGATAGAATGAGTAGGACCACTACTACCTTTCTGACTGAATATAGTTATGCTTTCAATCACTCTGGAATTAGCACTATCATGAGGCAATATCCTCTGACTCTCATGATCAACAATGAGGGAGAAGGCTTTGTTCAAGGTAGGAGTTGGAGTCTGCATCAGAATCTGACCTCTAGCTGCAAAATAAAACTCATTAATCCCCATAAGAAACTCTAGTAGTCTTTGATATTCAAAGTGCTCCTTAAACTTGATAGACTCAACACATGAACACCCTGGGTATGGCATAATAGAGTCAAGCTCATTCCACAATCCTTTCAGAGTAGTATAGTAGTCTGTCACAAACATTGTACCCTGAGTAAGACTATGAATCTCTCTGTGTAATTGAAAAACATGTGCACCATTGATTTTATCAAACCTTTCCTTCAAATCACACCATACTTTGTGAGCATTACCCCCGTATACTACACTATTCAGCAGACCAGGTCTAATGACATTCATAATCCAAGATAAAACTACAGCATTACATTTTCCCAAATATCAAGCAGTTCAGGTGCAAACTGAGATTTAGGAAATCTTCCATCAACAAAACCTAGATTACTTTTACCTAGGAGTCCAATTCTTATGGATTTGCTCCAGATTGCATAATTCTCAGAGCCAGTAAGTTGTAAGGAGATTAATGAGCTACTTGAAGTATCACTCGGTTGAAGATATAGAGGATGATTATGGTCAATAGTTGGAGCTATGTAGCTGATTCTAGGAGCTACATGAGTTGAATTCGAATTGAGATTGTCAGCTTCTAAGGACCCTGATCCATCTTCAGTTGTGACTACCATTGATGAGCAATCTATTTTCTGAATCTAGATCGTTTGATGAGGAATATGCTTATTCACAATTCTACTGGAGACACAGCTGAGAACCTAAGCACTACTCTATGCTGGACAACGAATCTACTAGCCTCAAAATTGCCAAGGCTCTGATACCATGATAAACTCCATTAATGGAGCTTTGAGTTATGTAGAAGAAGAA